GGGAGGGAGCGGAGCTGGGAGGCTCCCGTTCTCTCCCAGTCCCCATGCGGCGCCCTGAAACTTGCGGTCTGCGGGACAGAGGGTGGCTTTCCCGGGGCGCACCGCGACACGGGCCGGTGCGCGCCTCGGCGCGGGGCGGGGGTTCCCCTCGCTCCGCTGGGCGCAGAGTCCGGTCGAGTGGCCCAGATTCTGGCCAATGGCGAGGCCCTCGAGGCTGGGGGCTGCCGCCGGGTCCCTCAGGAGTTTCCAAAGGGGAAGAGCCGCCCGCCCAGCCCTGCCCGCGTCCGCCGCTGCCCCGCCGGGGCCTCTCGCGCGTTGCCCGGGAGGCGACCGGGGGCGCCGCGTGGCGACACTCGCACCCCGCCCACCCTCTCCTGCTGAGATGCTGCTTCGGAACCCGGGGCTGAGCCGGCCTCCGTCAGGTCGGCCCAGTGGCCGCTCCGGGCGCTCCGGTCCTGCCGGCCTTTGGGAGGGGGGTCCCCACCCAGCCTGAGTCGCGCCCCCTCCCAGGCCGCCAGATGTGAGCTCAGAACTTCCTCCTCTGTGCAGTTCAACGGAGACACACCCTATACCTGAATGACTCAGAAGGAGGTTGAGCGAATAAACAACAGACCCCTGGCTTCTGAATGAGTTTGCAAAAAAAAATAAAACCTCATAATCATAATCAAGTGACAGTTAGTTCACACTGCCTTAAGGCCTTCCCCAACGGCGTCGCACCCGACACAAACCCACAAATTCAACAGCAGTTGGTTAACACAATGGGGAAACTGAGATAACGGTCCTCCACACCCCGGAATACAACCGGATTGGGTGTGAGGACTCACTTCGCTGAAAGGTGGGAGGGATGTGTTGTCTACGCCACGCGACTAAAGTAAGGACCTGGCCACCACCCCCCCTTCTTCCTCTCCACTATGTATGACTTCTTTAAAGGGAAAGCCATTGAAGTGAGTTTCACACCCGGCCTGGATCAGACATATGACAGATTCACTGCAGGCTACTTACTGCTTTGGTAAGCAAGCCAGCGTTGTTGGCGAGTGGATTGTTGAGGGAAATGTCACTGGGACAGCCTAAGTGCCTCCTAGACTGTCCAGTCAGTGAGCTGCAGCCCAAAACTCAAATACTACAAGGGCCTGGTCTTCAGGGTCAAACATGGAAGGCAATAAGCAGCTAAGGAATTGAAACATATATTCCCAGAGAAAAGCAGACCGTTACATTTAAAGATTTAAATTTGGTAGGGTGCAGTGGCCTACACCTGTCATCCCAGCACTTTGGGAGGCTGAGGCAAGAGGATGGCCTGAGCCCACAGTTTGAGACCAGCCTGGGCAAATTGACAAGACCTTGTCTCTACAATAAATCAAAAAATTAGCCAGATGCGGTGGCACGCACCTGTAGTTCTAGCTACTTGGAAGGCTGAGGCAAAAGGTTCTCCTGAGCCCTGCAGGTCGGGGCTGCATTGGCAGTAAGAGTGCCACTGCACTCCAGCCTGGGTGGCAGTGAGACTCCAACTCAAAAAAAAAAAAAAGAAAAGAAAAAGAAAAACTCTCATTGCCTTCTTATAATATCGAATGTAAGGTTGTCCTTTTAGTATTGGTGTACCAGATTCTAAGTGTTACACATATTACCTCATTTAATCCTTACAATAGCCCTACAAGCTAAGTATTACTATTATCCTAACTACAAAAGAGAAAACTGAATCCCAGACACATTAAGCAATTTGGGTAACGTGGAGTATACCTGTAGACAGGGTGCAAACTCTTAACCACTACTCCAAACCCCCATGATAAACTTCAAATAGATCAAAGAATTTCATCGGGACATCAGTCCTTTTCTTGTGAACATCTCTGGTGAGGGTAACATGATGAAGACATATGAATTCACTTAACTTGAAGCATGCTTGTGTTATCAACTTTCTAAAGTCTTGCATGCCTGATATTTGAAAAATTCTCTTTTACACTTAACCAATATTTTGGTTAGGCATTGCATCAAAGGCTGTCAGTAATTTTCCCTGGAAATTTTGAAGACATTAATTATTCCCTTGTCTTTGAGTGCTTAGGGCTACAGATGAAGAGTCTAAAGCGATTATGATTCCATCTTGAGCTGTATTATTATTATTATTATTATTATTTTCGAGTGTGAGTCTCACTCTGTGGCCCAGG